TTATTTAATCTTTTTTTCCCTCATGTTATCCACAACATAAAAAGCACATATTGGACATGTTTTATTTCTGTAACTCTCCCATTCACCCATTCTTTGCATGGAAAAAGAGCAGGACCCTGGACAGCTCTTGACAGAACATTTCTGTAAATACAAGGCCAGTTGTCAATCCACTGTAATAAGGGCTTTCATAATTCCCCAGACTCAGTTCTTAAATATTAGGTCAGCCAGCATCTTACCTTATAACCCTGCTTTTTTCAACCAGACCCTGAGTAACTTTTGCTCAGTGAGGTTTCACATTGATTATGGATTGTTCTTACAAACACAGAGAATCTTGCTTTTAAGTAGCTACTAGAAATATTATAATACTGGCTGCTAGTAGGCATTTTGCCCTCTATTTTCTTGGTGGTGGTGTTGCCTGCCTGTTTTTCTGCTGCCCACTGAAACATTGAACTTTGTCAGAAAAATGTTGTTATGGACTTAATGAATCGGGGACATGATGTCACATTAATATCCACCTGTTCCTTGTTCACACTGTACAGAAAGAGAGACTTGTCTGGAAGGAAGAAATTATTTCTCAATTCAGTGATTGATTGTATCTGACCAGAACTCTGAACTAACACAAGTTGGGTTTTTTTTTCAAAGACTGTAATGACTGAACTAAATGATTAAACTGTGAAATAAGGTGATTATTTTAAGGTATAGTTACTTCTTTGTCTATTCCAAAATACTATCCATCACTATTTTAATAAAATGGTCACCCACATCGTCTTTTCTTATGAATTTCTAGCATTTTGCTGGTTTCAAAAGTAGCATATTTGCATGGACAAGCATGTTCTGTTCACTGGTTTCTAAGCCATAGATGCTTTGTGTCATCCCAAATCATCACCCAGATGTTCAAAAACGACACAAATCTGACATGCAAAACATCCACTGTATAACTGTTACATTCACATAGTGCAAGAAAGCTGCTGTTGTACAGCCAGCGTGAGGATGTGTGTAGTCTTGCCATAATGTTGTAACATCAGGGTGAGCTCACAGTCATCACAAAGAGTAGTGATTTCAGGTTGCCATCAATTTTTACAATTGGAGCTCTGTAGCAGCTAGACCACTCCTGCCCTAATCATCTTCACACTCGTTTTAAGCAACCATTAACATATGGCTCTACACAATTGCTGACATCTGTCAGGGTGGTCTGCACAAAACCCTGATTCATCACTAAGGCTTCGTTGCTGGTGAGCCCACCTGAGGTGTTGTTCCAACACTATGATGGCATAAAGGTGAATCTCACTTGATATGTCGTTAATATTGGTTCCTTTCTTGACTTACACCAGGTTTGACATTTAACAGATTATAAATGACCTTATCACCAATAAACTCTCTCACTAAATGTATTGATTTAGTGCTGCTGATTCAATAGTAACAGCCACTCAAATATTTCACAAACACTCCAGAATGATCAATTAATGACACCAAAACATTCAGTCACTACCCATAATCTATATATTTTATTTTTTTCTACAAACATACATGCATACATAGAGTGCTACGTATCTTTTGATGCTCAGTATGCCTTAATACACACTTAACATAAAGTGATAGTTTTCAATATGCAAGGAAATATCTTATTTAATTTTCACATAAGACAAAATGATAAATCAAAAGGAAGGGTATAGGGACAAAATAGACAAAATGATTGTTGTAACAAAAATCAGGCACAGTATGTATTGACAGTAAGCATACAATGACTCAAATAAGTAGCCTATTGGTGCATTTTGTAAACATTATGTTATTAGAGTCATTGTATGTGCAACAACTTTACATTTTACCTATCGAAATCTAAATGTAATAGTTGATCTGCTTCATTTTTCACATTAAAAGAACCTTTCGAATATAAAAATGGTCTTCTGGCAATGTACGGTAACGGCTACCTTAGAGTATTATTTATTTAAGCGAGCCACTAGATGGCACAATATCCATTTACGGTTCAAACCCTGAATAAGAGATGTCTTGAATATAGAATGGTTTGTCATAAAAAGGAAAATATTTTTTATGACATATTATATTACGATGTTGTTATCTAAAGCTAAATTCAAATGTTTGGAGTTTTCGAAACTTTTCACTTATGTAGGCCTGTTCGGGAGATTCGCTGTGCTACTTTAAGTAATTCAGGAGGTGCTGGTATGTAACCAGATCTATCATATATTGAAGGAAAAAAAGATTTCTAGTGATTTGATTTAATGTAAAATTATTTCAAACTTTAAAATAATATAGTATTAATCTGTTGTAAAAATAGATTTACTGAGTCGTCTGAGAAACTACAACAGAAGCAAAAACATATCCATGAATTACAAAAATCAAAAAGTGAACAACGTCCCTGTGTATCACTAAAGTTAAATCTCTAAAAAACATAAATCTAAGTATACAATCAACGATGTATAAAACTATTATGAATTACGGTGACGGATTCTGGGTTTTAACTTAAAAAGGAGAAATAGTTATACTTTAGTTTTCAAAGTTTATCAAGTGTTTCAAAATTAATCAAGCAATAAACAAATACAGTACTACCCATTTTTATTGTATTTTGACGTTTTAAATATGTTTTTGTTTTATATAAGATTAGACTGCGAACTACAATATCTCATCATGAAAGGCCGAGACAATTATCTTATTCCTCTATTAAGGAGATAATAATAATAATAATAATAATAATAATAATAATAATAATAAAGTAATGGACGACATGGTTAACAATGCTGCCCTACTGCTCTTGAGTTCTGGGTTCGATTCCTGACTGGGTCGTCTTCTGTACGTTCAGGTGTTACCGTCTTAATACCGTTTGTGTGTGTGTGCCTTACAATAATGAGTGAATAGATTCTATTTTAAAACGTTTGGTTTTATGACAAGCGTAGAAAACCCTTAACAGCGAATTTAATCATAATTGCATTAACAAAAACATAAAATTAAAATTCGTTATTAGATTTGAAAATGAAAAATGTAATTTAACTTACATTAAAATATATAGGAAAACGTGTATTATTTTACCCGTTTGGATTAACACGCTAAACAGTAATAATAATAATAATAATAATATATCATCTAATGGAAGTCTGGATAGGTATATGGAAAGCGTATTTATAAGGTAGGCTATCAGTATCTTTCTGATGTTTAAATGCACTCAGACCATGAATTTGACTCGCCCGACAGAAGCAGAGAAATCTTTTTATGCACGAATAGTATGGAAGATCGATTTAATTTGTGTAATACAGTGTATATATATATATGTTAAGCTTTGCGAACAGTTACCACACGACTTGTGGTTGATCCTATTTTTTTTTGTAATGAACGAAAAAGTAAAATTATTATATATACATCTTAAGCAATAGTACAGAATTTGGTATGAATACACACCTCAGTAAACAAGCCACGAGTCAAATGCTTAAGAAAAATGTTGGAAGTATGAAGATATGCGGTTTCACTTTTTAATTTTTTCTTTAAACATTCTATGCAGTTTCTGATAGTGATATTACAATTATTGTAATGGTCTGTTTCAATTTCTCCATTTTCAAAGCACATCAGCAGAAATAAAGATTAAATCATTAAACATTTTAATGGACTAAGCTAACATAGGCAGAAAAAATATTCCAAAGAAGACAATGGGATAGTTTCTAAATGAAATAAATACTTTATAAAGGAACTGAACATATACCTTAAATGTACCACAACATTACTTTACTGCAACGTAAAGTTACAATGTATTCCAAATAAAACAAAAATTATATGTCAACACGCCTCTTACTACAGTTAAAATGACTGTAGTCCTTTTCGGACTTCTCTTTAATAGCAACCATTCTTCCTATATTCTATATATTCTTACACCAAACTGATAAAAAAATCTTTTTTTGAAAATGATGGTACTGTACTATATATAATTTGTGCATAATGATAATGTAATTCAATATTTCAACCATGTTATAAATGTAAATTAGATATTATATACGGCACCACCACCCTGTTTTGCTCTATTTAGAAGAGCAACTTTTACTAAAGACATCTCGGGAATATCAAAGGGGTGTCAATATCATGCCAAACGTTTTGATCCCGCCGTAGAAATACAATAAGCAGGAATTTAGAAAGGTATTCATGTTTTCTGACCATGCTTTACGCTTTATCAACCGTTAACAATGTAATAAAATAAGGCATTGTCATAATCTTCCAAAACACGTTTTGAGAAGGCCTTCTTATTCTGTTACGGTCTGAAGATGTTTTTGCAGTGCTCACATGGCAATAAAAAAACATCTTAAAACTTTTTCCTGTTAAGGTCACTCCGTGATAAATGTACATTGGCCTCAAATGAGAGGTAAAAAGTAATTATTTAACAAAAAACTCAGCCTTATAGCAAAAGCCTGTATAAATCCTGTTAGATGCCTACATAGCTGGACTTCGAGTACATAATACAGTATTTGAACAATTTCCATTATTATTGGTAACAGTTGTAGTAATAATTTAACACAAAAATGGGATAAAGTCTCTCTTATTTCAAAATATTGTCCTTCTGTAAAAAGTTAAGTAGTTCTGAAAATTGGGTTTACTTAAACCGCATGTTCTTAGCCAAATGACAATATTAAATCAGTTTAGCAGTACTAAAAATGTCAAATAGATTATTTACCAGAAAAGGGTCATGGGATTAATTTTAAAAAAATCAGACATTTTAAAATATTTTACAAAAATATTATTGCAGTTCAAATCCTTAAAGGCTCATAGTTGGTTTAAAATGTGTCCTTTTACATTGTGTTTTTTTTTTGTAGTTCTCGTATACTTTACTCAGTTGGTAAAGGGTTAAGACTTTTCAATGAGTATAAGTACCCGGTCATACTATTAGCATTTCGTAGCCAATGATGACCAATCAGGATATAACAGTGTTTTTTCTTCGTCCAATAGGAAATGGTAAGGCAATTCTGTCAGTCACAGGTAAGAAATGATACCAGTACTGTCTGAAAAAGGAGAGGAAAGGGAGAAGGAGTTGGGACAGTGAGAGAATTGCAAGGCGTGAGGAACCCAGCGTAAGAAATCATCGTCAAAATCGAATTTCGGTGCAATCAGATTCAGGACGCAATGAGATTATCAACTCAGTTAAGGGAACTTATTGGAGCTACTCTTCTGTAGGAGTGGGAATATATTTACATTTATTTGAAAAATTCTTAAAATTCTAAAGAAGAAGTTTTTCATTAAAATGGCCGTGCGCAGCAATACTTTAACACCCTTCTCCATCCAGGCTATTTTAAACAAAAAAGATGAGAGTCGGCATTTGAAAGATTTGGACGTTTGCTTTCCTAGGTCAACCTGTTGGAAAATATTCGGGGAAGTGGACAATGTATCCGAAGAGTTTTCCTCTCCCTGCAGAAGTGAAGCAGAGGCTTGTCTGGCCAGCTCCCAGAAAGTTTATGACTCCGACTCGGGTCTTAGTGAAGAGAATGACAGCAAGACACACACGGTTTGCAAATCGGAGAAAGATTTGGACCGCTCGACTACAGAGTTACTTGAAAGAAGTTTGCAGGACGAAACTGACCACGAATCTACAGTTATTGAAAATGCAAACGGTCTCAGTGACTGTGAAACATCAGCAAACGTTTCTGGTAAGTGATTTCCTACAAATTAAACATTTCCCGTTTATCAAGACTTTGAATTAAGAACGATCAGTTATCATTACTCATACAATTCCGTGCTTCCTTTTGCAGCAAGTTAAAAAAAAGGTAATAAACAAATGTAATAAGCTATCCTTGGGGTAAATTATTTTAATACAATAACAATATGTTTGCTTAGCCGAGCAATTTGAAACATGCTCACAATAGGGAGTCAGCGCAACCTTGTTGTGAAAGGTGCTATATAAAAATAAACTGAATTGAATTGAATTATTTTATATGGGAAAAAAATATTTCCTTATCTTCTCAATCCTTGCTTAGTGAAGTATGACATGGAGGAGTTCGCAGTTTCTTCTAAATTCTGCTTCAGTGAGTGACAGTTAAAGCCATACTCAAATGTTTGATCAAAACATTAGCAATTAGATAGGCATATAATCTCTCGTGTGTATTTTCAGTATTATACAATATATTAAAATGTTGCAGTCCTGTAAAATGCAACAAAACCGAACACTATGGATGATGCCAACCACAAAACTATTTACGTCAGTGTAGAAAATGTTTCAGTAAAATGAAAAATAACCCTAAATATATACTCATAAATGCATTCTTCTTCCAAATCACGAAAAAATAAAGACATTAATGCGTCACGACAAATTGGTACTAAAAGTTTGCAATTAACATAGTTTGTACGGAAATAATAGTAAAGAAAACTTTTGCTTTTTAGGCTAATTTCATTCTTCCTGTGGTGGGCTACCTGACACGTACTACGAGTTTGAGAAGTTATGAGATTAATCCTGCTGTTGTTGTTGGCACAAGAATACCACTGCACTGATTTCATTACAGATATTTATCTATGTCTATATTTCTTTCTAGATTCAAACAACCCCGACGATTCTGCATGTGACAAATCGTCAGACCAACCGAAACAGAGGAAAAAGCGGTCCAGAGCTGCTTTCTCGCACGCACAGGTATTCGAGCTCGAACGGCGATTCAACCATCAGAGGTACTTGTCAGGTCCGGAGAGGGCAGACCTGGCAGCCTCCTTAAAGCTGACAGAAACCCAGGTTAAAATCTGGTTCCAGAACCGCAGATACAAAACCAAACGCCGTCAGATGGCCGCCGATTTACTGGCTTCCGCCCCAGCGGCAAAGAAAGTGGCAGTGAAAGTTTTAGTCCGGGATGATCAAAGACAGTACAACCCAGGAGAGCTCGTAAGGCCGCCGCTCCTGTCTCTTCAACCGTCCTATTACTATCCTTACGCATACTGCCTGCCCGCATGGACACTCTCTGCCTGCGCTGGAAATCAGTGAAACGTCGCTAAAATCTGAAAAACGGACAAACTGAAACTGAGTACTATTTATTTTCTCTTCTCACAAAGACAGCTGATTTATTGGGATTCAAAAAGAAAAAAAGGACATAACTGCCCAGTGTAGACTGTTTCATGGTATCCATGTTTTGGCATTTTATAGCATTAAAAGAAAATAATAAAGACTTCATTCTCAGTACCAGGAAAAAAGACTCAGTTGGACTATTGGTGAAAATAGCCTACTATTACTGAATGTATCCATTTATCTTATATTTTGTTTTCCTTCAAAAGAAGGACAGCGCTGTCAATGGCTTTGAAATTTGAATAATATTCGACGTGTTATTGCCTTACTAAGATTAGAGGGTAAGACTTTTCAGCACTTTTCCACGCGTAGAAGTAGTTTTTGTTTTGTTTTGTTTTTTCAATTAAAAGCCTACAACTGATGGGGTGTGTATAATTTGGTCATCCTAAGTGACTTGAGATCCACAACTGTGGAAGGAACTAAGACGAATTCTGATTAAAATGTATATATTTTTTTCTAATAACTGCTCGCTAAGTATTCTTTGCAAAACATTAAAAATAGTTGGCAATAAAGCCTACATATCATGTTTCCACCCTTAGTCTTTATTTAAAATCTAACGATACTGAAAAACTGAATTTTAAAAAACATGACTTTTATGGTCTTAAGTGCATCGCTCTTCGCACCATAGGCCTGCTAGTGACGCCTTTGCGCAAGCTAGTAGGCCTGTTCTTAGCAACTTTATAACTTACTGATTTTGAAGCCTGTTTTTCAATTACACAAAAAACGCGAAATATGTTATTAATTTAACCAATGACACAGAAATCATTTCTTTGGTCTAGATTGTTGTCAGTATTGTGATTATTTATGTTACGTTCTCTTACATTTGATAATCCATAGTATTTGCCATCAGCAATGCCATTGATAAGAATGTTAAAAGGTCAAAGGGTACAACATCATTAGGAAGCCTTTGGCAAGATTACGTTGTGTTACAGCTTGCATGTTAACAACCTATTTGACATATTTACCCATAATCTTTATAAATAAATGCTAACAAAAATTATAATTCTATTTTTGTACGCGATGCATGGTATAAAATGTAATACATGCATGTGTTGCTACATAAAAACATAATTGTTTAATTAAACTGCAAAGCATATATATTATAAAATATTCAGCACAGATCTCAAATAAGGTGGAGGCAGCATATCGCAATCTTACAAATGTTCACTGATTCCTTATTAGAAGAAAAGGTGTTTTCACCGTCAAGTATTTTCACCAGGCCTTTTAATATAAATCAATAAATATACCAGGAATGTAATGAAGATTTTCGATCGTTCTTTAGTCCTAAAGTTAGTAAATTGTAAATCCATGTGATTCGCCAAGCATTTTGATTGGTCTGATTACTCTTTACATTAAGTAACGTCAATAATACAAGCTGCGAGCACACTTTGATTCAGAGTTATTGATTAGGTGAATTATTGGATACAGTATGAAAACTGTGCTCTAGTAGCGGCAAGGGGAGGAGGATAACGTGAGTACTTGCGATAGTACATACATGTTCATATCTTAGTATCCCTTTCTCTCAAAAGAACATATCAGCAACCCAAATAAAGTTTATATGACAGCTGTTTTTTGCTCTATTAATTTTACCACTTTAAAATATCCCCTTAGGTAATAAACTACGTTTTGTCTTTGCATTGAAGCCATTTCCAGGAATCTACGAACACTGTTGTAAATCCTTAACTACAAACAACTTAGTTTACGAGCCAGAACTAAACATTTTTTTTTCAGTTTGCTGACAGGCATAAACCCTGCATGTCTAAATTTTTAGAGGGTGTGTTCCCGTTCAGCAAATAATATGAAAAAAAAAACTAAATAGGCCTATAGCATTACAGAAAAATTGAAAATGTATTAATTCAAAATGCAATAATTTTCTACGCATCAAACCGCGCAAATACCTTTTCACCATTAGAATTTTTTTTCCATTTAAAGGTGAAAATACAGTTAAAACCTATCGTTGGTCCTTAATATTTATTCTACCTATATTAAATAACCCTACCTATATTAAATAACCCGTAATACTTAAGTGTGATTTGACTTTTAAAGATGTAACTTTAATTAAGGATATTAATACTTTACCTTCACCAGAATAGACTGCCATTGAAGAGTTCAAGGACTTTAAATTGCAAGCAGAAAAGGCCTACTTTCAAATCTCCTATAAAAATTTTAAACCTTCATGCATTGATCGGTTTTCAGAATACCATTTTCTCAAAATTTCGTACTTTTCCAGATAAAACAGATAAATATTCAAGACATTGTTTTAACAAAGTG